ATGGGATATATATATTGCACCAGATTTTAACTAAATAAATTGTTGGTCACTGAATATATGTATACATGTATAATAAATTGTTTTATAAATATACTTCATGTGATTAAAGTGATTGCGGGCCACTGTATAATTATGCATATCAAGAATTGAAAGGGGGTTAATGTAGTGATTGTACCAGTTTGTGAGTCCCTGTTTATATGGATGTGGGATAATTATAATATTGCACGTGATTTTCACTGATTGTTGATCACTGTATACATGCATTTTATGAAGTTTGAAATAATATATTGCACGTGATTAAAACTAATTGTGAGTTACTGTTTATAAATATAAAATGAATTGTGGGATAAATTATCTCACCTGATAATAACTGATTGTGGGTCAATGTTTATATAAAGAATTGTTGGATAAATAAATAAGTAAATCGTTTATGATAGCGGCATGTGTTATCATATAATACAATTATATCAGAAATATTAACGGTAATACAAATATTCAAACACTCGGCCCTATATGTCACTTTTAACAAAAAATAAAGAAAAGATATATACCGCTGCACAAAAATTTTATGCGTAGCGGTTTTCTGTACAACAAAGATTGCATTTGCATGCATGATTAATATAAATATTTTTAAGTGTGCCAAGGAAAATGCGTTAAAAGGAAAATAAAATTAATTATTAAGATCCAACATAGAAAAAACTGGGTTGCAATTAACATATGATAAATGCTAGTAAATAAATCTGATATGTATTTCAAGTACATGTATTCTGTACAATTCAATCAAAAATGGCACTTGTTCTCTACTTCATCTTGAGAAAAAAAAATATATTAATATACTGAACGTGCTTATAACTGATTGTGGGTCACTATAAATATGTATAAAATTATATAATGAATGGGGGAGGGGGTTAATGTAGTGATTATACCAGTTAATGGGTCACTGTATACAAGTTTATAACGGATTGTGCGATAAATATATTGCACTTGATTAAAACTGATTGTGGGTCACTGTATATACATTGTACATAATAAATTGTGGGATTAATAAATTGCAGGTGGTTAAAACTATTGGTCACTGTATATATGTATATGATGAATTGTGGGATAAATATACCGCACGTGATTATACATGATTGTGGGATACTCTTTGTTTAAAATATGTAGTGATCATCGCTGTTTGTGGGTCACTTTGTATATTTAACATTGTGGGGCAGTTGATTATATAAATTATATTGCCAAAGAGCATAATCCCTAAAATATCTTGTTAAGATTCTTTTAAATAAGGTATCGCAGTGAATCATTATGATCCGATAATACTCATAAAGTAATATTAAAAATGTTGTGCAATAAATATATTGCACATGATTAAATCTGATTGTGAGTTACTGTTTATAAATATAAAATGAATTGTGGGATAAATTATCGCACGTGATTATAACTGAATGTGGGTCACTGTTTATATGTTATAAAGAATTGTTGAATAAATAAGTAGATTAATCGTTTATTATATAGCGGCATGTGTTATTATACAATACAATCATATTAGAAACATATAATACAAATATTCAAACACCTATATATAACTTTTTTTTTAAAAAATAAAGGAAATATGTATATAAATATATACCGCTGCACAATTATATTACGCATAGCGGTTTTCTGTACAAAAAAGCATGCAATATTAATATAGATATTTTGAGGGATTAAGAGGAAAATAAAAGTATTTAGATCAGACATAAAAAAAAAGTTCCGCCGAATTGTGGCTGAAATATTGCCGCCTCGGCGTTGAGACAATATCAATAAATCAACCAATCATAAAAAGATGGGCTGCCATAATTGTTAGTAAATAAATTAATGTGATCCATATTTCGAGTATTTTGTATAATTTAATGAAAAGTAGCACTCGTTCGCTACATTATCTTTTAGAAAAAAATACATAAATATGTCACTGATTGTTGGTCACTGTATATATGTATGTATACGAAGAATGGGGTGGAGGTGTTAATGTAGTGATTATACCAGTTTTGAGGTCACTGTATGTATGTATTGAACGGTTTGTGCAATAAACACATTACACTTGATTAAAACTTACTGTGGGTCACTGTATATACATTGTATGTTAATTATGAATTGTTGGATTAATATATTGGAGGTGGTTTTAGCTGTGGGTCACTGTATATATGTACATAATGAATTGTGGGATAGATATACCGCACGTGATTATATATGATTGTGGGACACTCTATGTATAATGGATGTAGTGATCATCGCTGTTTGTGGGTCACTATATATATATCATCGTGGGACAGTTGATTGTATATATTATATTGCCAAAGAGGATATCCCTAGAATATCTTGTTAAGATTCTTTTAAAAAAGGTATCGCAGTGAATCATTATTTAATATGATACGAAAGTATTGGAAAGTAATATTGAAAATTCAGCGAAACTGTTCTTAATGGTTTATTTTACATTGTATATAAGTAAATATAAATACATGAATATATTTATAAATATTTTATCAAACATTAATGCTAATATCTTTTCATTGTGAATTCCAGCAAATAATATAATTATATAGCATAAGATAATGTTGCGGGTCACAAAATTCATATATGAAGAGCATTGTGCGATGTATATAGTTTATCCCACAATGTTCTATATATATAAATGTTTTGACCCACAATTATTTACAATATTTTTAATATTAACTCAAAAAAAATATTATATATTATATAAGGACCATATATAATGCCTAAATAATGAATATGGCATAGCTATGCAATTTAGAAATGCGAGATCCCACAAACCAGCTTAGAAGCTCGGTGCCCACAAACAACCTCATATACCTATATATATATATATATATATATATATATATATATATATATATATATATATATATATATATATATATATATATATATATATATATACTCACCGCCAATAGAAACGCAACACCCTAATTTAAGGGGCGAAAATTCTGAACGGGATATAACTATGTACCAAAAAAGTTAGGACATCTTTTACTTTGCCAAATCACTTATTTAACGGTTGAATGATTTTCATTCCATTACCGGAAGTTGATTTTTAGCCCCCTGAACAGAAATCAAAAATAAGCATTTTAAATAAAATTATTGACAATATTTTGGTTTTTCAAGGTTTTGTATCTGTTAATCCTAAGTCTTGTACTAAAAGTCCGGAAAAATATCCTTCTTTCTTTTCAGGATGTGATGCCTGTATTTCCTCAAAGTAACTGAAAGCACGCATTTTCATTGCTAATGTTGGAAATTCTCAAAATAAAGCAAAGCGAGAGCTACAGATGCAAATATACACTACATAACGACTTTTTGGGCCCATGTGTTTCAAATGCATGAATGACAGTTCCTTGACCGGAAGTCCAAGGGTTACTACACTATGCCAAGTTAGAGAAAATTCGACCTCAGTATCTGAAAAACAGGCATTTAAAGATGCACAAGAATATTTATTTCGCTCAGGTTAAGACATTGATAAACCTACTGCATGATAGAATTCGGGCTGTGTTTGTTGTACCTGGCGGACTAGGACGTTTTAATTGAATGGTCGGAAGGGGGGATGCTTTAAAAGTTTTGTGTTACTTTCTAAGGTCTAAAGATAACATTTAAAGTTTAAATGAAGTATCATTGTTTTGTAAATTTACTTTTTACATTTATGTATTCATTTATAATCTTATCTTTAAACCTTATAAAGTAACACATAACTCGACAACACCCCCCCTTCCGACCATTCAATTAAAACGTCCTAGTCCGCCAGGTCAATATAAAAGTAGTTTTGGTACCAAAAGAAAAGTTCCTCACCATGAGTCTACCTTCTAGAATAAAAAACAAATAAGCAGCGACAGTTCAGTACTAAAGACCAAAGTTAGAGATTTTCAAAAGTAGGTCAAACTGGACAAGGTCAAGGAGTCAATACTGATGATACACAAAAAAATTTCAGAAAGAATACACAGGTGAAATATAAAAGTCACGGAATCAACCATTCAAAAGTTATTACCAAAGGTTTTCAAAAGAAGGTCAAAGTCTGATGTCCAAATAAAAGGATAAAAAATATAAAGAAAATATTAATATTCAAGAGAAGCTCTTACCACAAGAAATGAACCGGTAAAATAGTTAACCCCTTGTACTAATTTTTCAGTAAATACGTCCAAAGTTAACGTTTTTAAAAAGTAGGTCAAATCCATAAGCTCAAGGTTAAAGGTCATTACTGTTTGTAATCAGGAGAAGGTCTTATCAAAATATAAGGGTGAAGAGTATGATATCACTTGATTTAACAGTGTAGTAGCTATGGCTAATAATAAAATTTTGAAAATTTCTTTAAAAGTGAGTCAAACATAAAGGTCAAAGTCAAAAATACTTTTACCCTAGGAAAAGATTTTACACGTTGAATACACCAGTGAAATATTAAAGCCATAGTTCAAATGACCAAGGCTCAAATTTCGAATTCGAAATTGACCGTCAAAATAAAGAAAAAAACCTGTGAAATATGAAATTCATAGCTCAAACCAATTAAAGGCTGTAGTCAGGGCTAATTGATTTACCACAGATAAATCAGGAAAAAAAAATAACAAACAAACAGACAACTGGACCGACCGTCCTAGGAAAATATATTTGCCCCGTATTTTTTGGATTACGGATAGAAATTAATAAAAAAAAAAAAACACTTTGTTCTAAAATGTTTGTTTGTACGGTTAGAGGAGATCCCAGTCAGTTTCCTTGGGAAAATAACGAAACAATATAATGCGCTGTCTGTCTTTGTGTTCATGCTATCAATAGTTTATTTAAAACATGAGGATAAACCTAGATCTCTTCCGAGGAGACGAATATACAGTCCGAGGATAAATTTAGATCTCTTCCGAGGAGAGGAATGTATGATCCAATGTTAACTTAAGAATACTCCATTTAATGATTTAGAACTTCATACACCATGCTTAATGAAATTATATAACAAAGATAATGGTTACAAATGTTTATTTTGATTAAAAGAGAATGAATCATTATGTAACAGAACACTCTTCTGGCTCCAAATAAAATGGAGAATCCTCACAAATAAAGGGAAGTTTTAGTCCGTCTTCTTCGGTATAGTACGTATAGTTTCTCTCAGTCACCCAGCGCCACCTGCCGTCGTTATGATAAGTCAAAAGGAGGCCAAAGATTGGGTCAACTGCTGTCTCGCCCTCATCGTTAGGATTCCAGTTCTGATACGTCACTGGTGTCCAATTATCAAAAATGAGTTTTTCATTGTCGTCAAATGTCAAAACATTGGCACGAAATGCAAATGAACCGTTGAGATCAACTTCTGCAGAAAATGACAAGAAAAAAAATATATAATCTTCAAATTAGGAACTCCATCGATACAATATGAGTTGTAGCTTTACATCCTGAATGCTCTAAAAATTATAAGATTTGATCCGCTGTATCCAAATTCAGTAGACATTTGAAGGGAAAGTATTCTCTTTTTTGCGTCGTGGTATGTGTAACAATGGAATATTTTCTAACGAGCATAAGCAAACCTAGGCCAAACTTTAGTTCAATTTGAATAACATAGGAATATAATGTTTATGGGTGAAATTAGAAATAAACAATTTTGATACACTGCAGAAATATATTTTCCAGATTAAATGTTTTTTTTTTTTTAAGTTTAAAATCAGATTTGAAGAAAGCAAAAAAATGTAAATAACTTTTTTATCAAAGGTGTTCAAATATAATCTACATATTTCTTGATTAAAGAGTATCAATTTTTTAATCAATTGCATTGTAGAGAAATTTGACAAAAAATATTTTTGTTATTGTATGCATTTGATAAAAATGAAAGCATGTTATGAATTAATTGTTTCCGTATATACCCAGGTGTTTGGGGTTTTCGTCTTTAATCCTTCCAAGAAACAACAGCATGCAATAACAAGATGTGTTTGTGAAACTTTGATGCCCCCGTATGGCAACATAGCGAAGGTTAAGGTTTCTCAAATGCAGATCACATATGTTGGTACATAAAGTAAGGCCTTTCCAAAAAATACAAATATGACATAGAAAACCCTTGCACAACCTGTTCAAAGGTTACGGCCAAGGTAAGCGTTTTTAAAGGTAGGATAAACTCCGATTTGTTTGTAAAAAGTAGGTCAAAAACCAAGGTCAAAGTCAAAGTGTTAAAAGTGTTGAAATCCAATGAAAGGTCTTCTCACAATGACTACATAAGTGAAGTTTGAAAGACCTAAATCTTACAATTCAAATGTTATGCCCAGGTAAAGTTTTCTTGCAAATGCGTAATTTCTAAGGTCAAAAGGTTTAAATTGTTGGTTTCAATAGAAAGCTCTTGTCACGAAGACTTGATATTTAAAATATGATATTCCTAGAATCTACCATTGAAAAATTAGAGCCAAAGTAAAAGTTAATTTTTTTGTAAAAATGTGTCAAACTCCAAGGTCAAGGTCAAAGGGTCAAGAATCTTAATATCAAATGAAATTTATTGTCACAAGGATCAATTAGGTGAAATATGAAAGCCCTAGGCCTTACCGTTCAAAAGTTATGGCCAAGGTTAAAGTTTTTTTCACAAGTACTAAAATCTCCAAGGTCAAAGTTGTTGGTATCCAATGAAAGGTCTCTTAACAAAAATATATATGTGAATTATATGTAAATTATAACAACCCTGGTATTCAATGTTCAAATGATATGGCCAAAGTAAAAGTTTGGATTTTTATGTAAAACTGGGTCAAACTCCTAGGTCAAGGTCAAAATGTCAAGTTATGTGGTACCCTAGGAAAGGTCTTGTCACAAAAATACACATGTGAAATATGATAGTCATAGCTCCACTAAATCAAAAGCTATTGGCAGTATTAAAGTTTTTGCGTACAAACAGACAAACAGACAGAGAGACACACAAAGAGAGAGAAAGAGAGACAGACAGACAGACAGACAGAGGGATGGACACGACAAACACTATAAACCTCCGAAACTTTGTTCACGCGGGCATAAAAATGTTTTATCATATACTTAGTAGTAAATACACCGATTCTGCACGGTGTGATACGGGTGACGTCACAATACCCCATATCACGGACCGGTCCGAAAAGCCATATCACGTATCGGACCGGCGGGCCGAAAATCCATATCAAACCGGAAGTAACGTTTGTATAACGTTTAAAAGTCAATTTACTTGATTTTATTTTAATATTCATAATAAATCTTTCTTTAATGACATTTATGGCCTTAATTTTTTTCAGTTACCTAAAATAGGCTTTATTAGATTTTAGAGAGAAATGTCACAAACAAGCACAAAATATTCATCAATGACCATATGTGAACTTGCATATTAAGTGTTTTAAATATATGATAAATAGAATACTACATACTAAAATCCATATCATATGTCACATCAGCCCTCGGGCCCCACATCAGCCATCAGGCCTCCGGCCATCGGGATGATATGGGGTCACTCGGGCTGATATGACATATGATATGGATTTTAGCATGTAATATTCTCTATTTAATGACCACATTGTATATGGTCGAGTTATCTGATAAGCAGATTGTTTAAATACCCGGATGGAAACATTTAACCATAAAATGCATTGTTTCATTACCCGGATGTATGCGGTTTACGCCTAAAAACCTCCCATATCCATCACCATACCAGACCAGAAGCTCTTCACCCGGCTCTACGTCACGTGACGTCATATAGAAGATGATGCCCTCGCATGTGATAGGAATGACGTTTTCCTGTTGATATTTGGCGGGAGAATGAACGAATCGTAACCAGTTACTACAGGCCGGATCTTCTGCATCTATGTTGTAAGTACCATCAGTCCCCTGTTTATCTACCTTTGAAAACAATAAAATCCTAATGTTTAACAATGAATTTTAGTTCAGAATATGTTATAAATTCTATGCTTGATGACAATCAGATCCATGATGATCCAAATAACTTGACTATATAGGGATTAAAAGAATCTAAAAAATAAAGCGTTATGAGAGTGTAACATTATTTAGCAATAATACTCCCCTACCGTATAATATGGTTTCCTCTTAAATTGAAATTTTTATAAGAAATCACTGAAGTGGTCAAAAATAAAAATTCATCTTTAACTCATCAAAGTCAAGCAACATACACAGAAGCTAATCAAACGGATAAAAAGGCGGACAGGGAGGGACGAAAGCAGAGGAAATTTTTAGTCCATCTGGTTTCAACGACAGGGAACTAGGAATATGTAACTAAAATATGCAACATCATTTCGTTTTCATTGTGGTTGATTCTCTATGTGATTTTACCTGCCATGAATAAAAGTCATCTTTCTTGTCTACAGTGTGAATAAGTCCCTCGTATACACCGAGGATCGTGAACTTCGGAACAAAGGTCTCCGTCCATGCGCCCATCCCCGCTCCCGGAAGTGACGAAGATTTGATGACGAATCCTGCGGGCGTGGTCAGATTAGCTCTCTGGTGAGGCAGGGAACCTAGAGGAATCTTACATGTACAAGATAATGTCAAGGACACGAAACAGAGGTCAAGGACACATGATTTTAAGTATAATATTAACTTCTTGTATGATTTATCTAACTACTAATATAACATTTAGACAACAACAAGGTCTATGAAACTCTACTTAAGGGAAACTTAATGGTAGAGGTCTAGCATTAAGGAAGCTCTAAACACTGCACATAAAAGAGTTCCTTACACCACCCATCAGAGACCTTTGGTCTACAAAGCAGTTAAGTGTATTTTTGTGTTGAAGTATTGCCTGTATAGATATTTAATATACGACATTTGAAGCATTCTAATATGTATCGTGAAACAAACTCTAAACGATGCTTTTTTTTTATTTTGCTGTACATACCTTTGCATTAGGAATGTGTTTATATTTCAAACTTTGTACACCATGCTTAATGAAATTTTCACAAACTGAGAAGAGAAAATAAATACACTTAGAATATTGTCCTTACTTTGCAAGCATATTTTCCCCTGATATAAAATGAATTTAAAACTTTATAATACAATATATTAAAAAAAACTAAACATGGTTAAAACAATATATTTTTAGCACTCTAACAATTCAAGTGTGTATTATCACTGCCTTCATTTGAGAGGTAAACTTTTATCAACTTATCATTACATGTAAATAAGGCATTTTACTAGTTTCTGATCCATTTTTATCTGTATTTCCTTTTCCCTTTAAAAAAATTTCTGAAAAAAAATCTTATTCATGATTAAAATATGTACAAACTGACAGATATGGTCATTTCATTTGATCCTTGTCTTAAAGAAAATCAGCAACAAACAAACACTCATTATAGTAAGAATTATCTCTCTTGTCTCTCTTGCTAGTTAACTTTAATACTTACACTTCTTCTTCTCGGCCGCAATATCCCATTCCTTCTGAGCAATCCTGTCAATGTAATAGAGTTTTCGTTCATGCAGTGGAGTTTTTGTTCGAGTAATAGAGTTACTGTTTATATAAAAGAGTTCATGTTTAGAAAATGGAGTTTCTGTTCGTTAAATAGAGTTCATTTTATTTTTTTTCGAGTTTCTGTTAGTGAAATAGAGTTCCTGCTATTAAAGTTATAATGTTCCTGTAAATGTATTAGAATTCCTGTTAATGTTATAGAGTTTCCGTTAATGAGTTTTTTTTTTGAAAATTTAAAAGAGTTCCTGCTAATGTAATAAGGTTTCTATTACTGTAATAAAGCTCTGGATAATGTAATAAAATTCCTGTTAATGTGATAAAGTTCCGGCTCATGTAAAAGAGTTTCAGATAGTGTAATAGAGTTCCTGTTTATGTAATACATTTCATGTTAATGTGATAATGTTGATGTAAAAGAGATCCTGTTCATGTAACAGAGTTCAAGTTTTTGTAATAAAGTTCCTGTTAATATCAGGAGTTTCAATTAATGTAATAGAGCTCCTGGAAATGTTATAAAATTCCTGGTTATGTAAAAAATTCCTGTTAATGATATAGCGTTCCTGTTTATGTAGTAGATTTCTGTTAATGTAATATAGTTCCTGTTAATATGATAGAGTTAGTGTTCATGTATTAGAGTTCCTGCTAATATTATAGAGTTACTGTTAATGTGATGACTTCCTGTTAATGTAACAGATTTTCTTATAATATTAAAGAGTTCCTGTTAATGTAAAACAGTTCCCGTTAATGTGATAGATTTACTGTTAATGTGATAGAGTCCCTGTTTATGTAAGAGAATGACTTAGGTTATGTCTGTTTAAGTGAGAGCATGATATAGGTTATATCTGTTTATGTGAGAGCATGTTGAGGGTTATGTCTGTTTATGTGAGATCATGATATAGGCTATGTCTGTTTATTTGAGCGAATGATGTAGGTTAAGTGAGAACATGATGTAGGTTATGTCTGTTTAAGTGAGAGCATGATGTAGGTTATGTCTTTTTATGTGGGAGCATGATGTAGGCAATGTCTGTTTCAGTGAGAGCATGATGTAGTTCATGTCTGTTTAAGTGAGAGCATGATGTAGGTTATGTCTTTTAGAAGGTTATAGCAGATATTCGGGCAGCTTTCGATTTACGTCCAATGTTTTTTTCTCAGAGAGCTACAGTTCTACAGCTAGCGTATTCGGACAAGAAGCATTTCCGAGGATTGAATGGTAAACACGTTTCCCTGAAAAAAATTCCAGCTCGTCTGCCTTTCTGCCCCCCTCCCCACCCCATCTCTCTCTCTCCCTCCCCACCCCATCTCTCTCTCTCTTTCTCTCTCTCTCTCTCTCTCTTGTTTATTTGAGCGAATGATGTAGGTTATTTCTGTTTTGGTGAGAGCATGATGCAGGTTATGTCAATTTAAGTGAGAGCATGATGTAGGTCATGTTTGTTTAAATGAGATCATGATGTAGGTTATGTCTGTTTAAGTGAGAGGATGATGTAGGTTATGTCTGTTTATGTGAGAGCATGATGTAGGTTATGTCTGTTTAAGTGAGAGCATTATGTAGGTCATGTCTGCTTATGTGAGAGCATGATGTAGTTCATGTCTGTTTAAGTGAGAGCATGATGTAGGTTATGTCAGTTTAAGTGAGAGCATGATGTAGGTCATGTCTGTTTATATGAGAGCATGATGTAGGTTATGTCCTTTTAAGTGAGAGCAGGATGTAGGTTATGTCTGTTTATGTGAGAGCATGATGTAGGTTATGTCAGTTTAAGTGAGAGCATGATATAGGTTATGTCTGTTTATGTGAGAGCATGATGTAGGTCATGTCTGTTAGAAGTTTATAGCAGAGATTCGGGCAGCTTTCAATTTGCGTCCAATGTTTTTTTGTTTTTTTTTTCAGAGAGCTACAGTTCTGCAGCTAGCGTAATCGGACAGGAAGCATTTCATGGTAATTTAATGGTAAACACGTTTCCCTCAAAAAATTCAAGGTCGTCTGCCTTTCTGCCCCCCTCCCCACCCCATCTCTCTCTCTCTCTCTCTCTCTCTCTCTCTCTCTCTCTCTCTCTCTCTCTCTCTCTCTCTCTCTCTCTCTCTCATTTGTTTCTTGATATATGTTAAAAAAATCATCTCTGAAACCAGAAATAATAATATTTTATTTTCAGTATATACGTGGCTATAAGTAATTTCTGAACAATTTTCCTTTTATCTATTTTTAGATTCACATGGGTTTCTTATTTTTGGCGGGGGGTTGTGTCATTGTTTCAATTTAAAATCAAATATTCTGGTGTTTTACTTGAGATTTAGAGTATGTTTAGGGTATTTATATACATGTATTCGATGTCAAACTACGATTCATCAATATTTAGATTATACAAATCTATAAACACTTATACATGTACATTGTACATGACGGTAAATATGACCTTAGATTTACAGCGCAATTTCATACATAGATCCTCCCCTGATCTCTTACTTTCAATATATTTGGTGAATACTTTTTCTTTCTCCTCTGAGTCTATGACGACCATGTGAGCTCCTTGCTGGTGACAGAAGTCACTGAAATTCAACATGAACGTCGGTTCCTTGTGGAAAGAGAAACACCAACCACTCACATTGACAAATCCCGGGGAGCATCTCAAAACCTCTGATCCTGAAATCCCAGAGGACCATTTCAAAGGTTCCGAATGAATGGCAATCAAAACTGTCAAATGATATAAATAATACAAGGGTACATTCGTCATCTAACAGATATAAATAATACAAGGGTACATTCGTCATCTAACAGATTATGCTTTAATCTTTAAGATGTTCCCACTCTTACAATTTCATGTTTTCAAAATATATAAAGTTTCATGTACTTCAATTCACATCAACAAGTCATTGTAAATATGCTAAAATGTCAATGATAGCGTTTGAGAAGTGAAGTTTCTTTTATATAATGCACTACATGTATAACCTAAATATACCTTACGGCTTAAAAAATGTTACATGTATATAGCAAAACATGGGTTAAAATAAGATTCATTCCTTTATTTTTATTTCGGTGTAGACGATAAGATAATTTTTCTTACCAAAAATGGCTTACATGTAAAATTGAGCATATTTTAAAACAAACGTCAAAAGGAGATATTGATACATTTGCGTCAGAAAAAATACTTATTACCTATTTCAAATAAGTTAAAAGTAAATAACCCCTTTTTTTTGTTTTAACCTTGTCATTATTCCAAAGGTGATTTTTAATATGTTTTGCCTGTAACAATCCAATTCAATAGGAATGTAGCTACAATCGGAAGGCCTCTTGACACTAGTTTGAAATGAATGCATTGGATATTTCTTTAACCGTAAATAAATAATTAAATCCAGGAAACAATTTCAGCAAGACTATTTGAAAATAGAAATAATAGCAGAACCCATTTTTGTGTAAAAATGATAATGTGCTATGTAGAGAGGGAGGAATGGTAAAGGTTTTATTCTAGTTTTTACTTTTTTTTAATTTATAGGCATATATGTATTTTTGAGTTTACAAATAGTGCATATGAATTCTTTTGACTGAAATTTATTTTAGATATCCGATTCGAATAACTGATACTTTTACTGAAATCAAAACAGCAAATTATCTGAAAAATAAAAGTATGAAAAACTCTTGAAGTAAAACCTGGCGAGATAAATCATGAAGAGTTGTTCATCTTGTCTCATAAAAGCCTTTTACCTTTTGTGACATGAAATTAGACACAAGTAACATCTTTTTAAAAAGCTTGCCAGTCTACATTAATCAATATCTGCGCCAGAAGGGATAAAAATTTGAAGCAATAGCTTTGTGGGTTTAAAATATATATTAACTATTTATTTGGAGTGTCACATTTTTTACATGATAACAGGGACGAAATTTACCCATTTGTATCAATATTTTCATATCACACGTGCAGCTATTCTAAATTAGTATTTCAAAGAACCGAATTTAGGAAACACATATTAACAAAACACAAATAAATTTCTTTTCGATACAATAAAATTAAAAAAAATTACGTAAATTTAAATCTGAAAATGACTTATTTATTCAATGAAACACAGGAGTTGACACTAATTTATTTAGAGTACAATCGATCTCTTCGACTTTTCACTGACAGTTACATGAATCATTGAGAAAATAAATTAAGATTCATTCTGACCATAGATATTGTATGAATTATATCCCTTTGTGCTGTGCTGAAATCAACACTGAAGTTCTGGATTTTAATTCTGACCTACATTGCATGTATTTATTCTTCATTTCTGCTTAAATAGCAAATCAGTCACGAAGGTGTTCACCTTAGTAGTAAATTTCATAGACTCTTTTTGAATACCAAAAAATAATTTCCGTTTATCTATAAGGAAAAAAACAATCAGCATAACATTGAAAATGTGAATGAGTCAAATTACACTGCAGCACACATTATACGTTATATTGTTATATTTTCTGTCAATGTTAGCAAAATGTACTTTGGTACTTATTATTTCCATATCAAATTGAGGTAAATTTGATTGTTGATCTACATGAACGATTTTAAGTTTAATAGATTCTATTAAATTTTATATTTTGATGGAATAGATACATCATAGTAATACGATTGTTAATTTGCTGACAGTTACTTAAATCCAAAGCCATACATATTGAAGTTCATTTGTATGTAAACTCTATGGTATATTTCTATCAGTCAAAGATCTGTTATAATGCCAAGTAATGATTCACATCCTGTTATCTAATATTTGGGGGGGGGCTAACTTTTTCTGAAACCCTTAATTTTTCTTTGAAATTTTGCAGTACGTAAGATGTTCATTTTTGAAGATTTCATGACCAAATAAAAACTTACAACAGATAATAATTAACATTTGTATGTATGCATTAAAGAGATCAAGTTCATTTGAAAACAAGATTCATATAATAAATAATAATAAGAGTCTAAAATAAAAGCATACTTCACCAGCCCAGGTTATACTATTTCGCCATCCATTCTCTGCATAACATCACAATTATTTGTAAGAAAATATTGAAGTGCATTTTTCCTGGCAATTAATGTTCAGCAGAATTACATGTTGTTTTATTTTTTCTTTTTTTTTTTTTTGGTTATATAGGTGGATAAATGTAGATTATGTTGTGCCTTACACTATAAATCTTGCAGTTTTGATAATAAACTAAAACCAATATCTGACAGTGACCATGGAACCTTTTATGATAGACTGTGGTTTGCTCCAATTGATTAGACCGTTTCATTTTTTGATATTATTCACTGAATTTGACAGAAAGTGTCGCCTCATTTACGTTTGTCCTAAGATTCTAAAAGTCAGAAACTAGATAAATATACATTGAAGAATCCACTTTTACAAAAAAAAAAAACTGTTGGACTTTCCTTTTCGATTTTTCTTATTTTAACATATTTTATCCTTCACCATATGAGGGTTGATCCAAAAGTTTGTGGAATTTCTTCATATCATATTTATTTTTAAATGGAATTGGTTGATAATTACAAATGAAAATATAGACATGTTGAATATTTTAAATTAAAAATATTTTATATATCTTTGATAATAACTCTATGGCAGTTGCCATAGAAACGGTTGTTTGGCAATGCAGAGGAGACATTATTAGGGCTTTTCGACTTTTGTCGAAAAGACCTATTGTTTTCGTCTTTTTTATTATTATTCTTTTTCTGAACACTTTTCTTTCACAGATTTAAGGAGATCCTTTTAAAATATACATTTTATTTTATAACCTTCTGAAAGACCATGCAAAATTCTACAGAATGTAATTTTTTGGCTATCTTGATACGTCACTTCCGATTTCTAAATGAGAAAAACTTAAATTCCATAAAACCCCTAAATCTTTCTTATTTTAAATGCCTAAGCTCCGAAATAGAAAAGTACAAGTTTTGGAATTCAAGTTCTATAAAAAAAAAAAAGGTTTGCATAGGCTTTTTGACCACAAGGATTTTTCGAGATATAAGACTTCAAATATTGCAGAAGGTTTTTTTTTTAAGTCAGAATAACGTTGGAAAATTATTCTGAACATAGAAATGTGTTTGAACTAGTTAGTAGAGCATATATTGTAAGTTTCATATCAATCAGACCAGAACTTCCGGTTTTATGATCTTTGAAATCTGTCTATGGGAGTTCTATGTTAATTTTAAATCACGCATGACACGTTTTCTCTTAAAGTAATGACAATTTTCTCGTGAAATTTTAAGTTAACAATGACTTTGATACTGTTCTAACCTGAAAATACTCTTAAAATGAAAACCATGAAAATAAGGGGTTTTTAGGGGCCATCATTAAAACAAATTTTTGTCTGTAAATTTTTTTTGTTTCTCAATAAAATTTCAAACAGTTTTCAGATTTGAGTTAAGCACAAAAAAGACAATTTAAAAAATATGGGCTGTGGGGTCACTTTTTGACACCTTATAGGAGTTTTAGAGGCCTGAAATAATGTTTTTTTTTTAATAATTTTAAAATCATTTTTACAAAATTGTGTAAGGGTTATCTCCCTTTGTCCACCTATTTCAAAGGGACTAAGCTCTCTATGTTTTCATTTTGGTATGCATATGAAGAGTACTTCCGGTTTTATGAGTCCCTTAATATTGACTATGGAGAATTCTATGGTAAAGGAGAAATCACACTTGTTCTTTTTTCTCATAAGGGAAGCAAGCGATTAATTTGATATTTTACAAGGTAAATTATTGTAGCATTGTCTTAAAATGTTAAGGTCATGAAAACGAAGTCCTCTCAAATAAAAGGGATTTTAGGGGTCAGTACAGAAAATACATTTTTGCCTGTAACTTTTTTATTTGTTCATATATCTTCAAACTTATTTCTTTTTTTGAGTTAAGAATAAGAAGGGCATTTGAAAAATTATGAGCCGTGGGGTCACTTTTTGATCCCTTATAGGACTTTTAGAGACCTAGATTATCGTACTTTTAAGTAATTTAAAAAATGATTGTGCAAGAGTTATCTCCCTTTGTCCAACCGTTTGGAACCTAATATGCTCTGTATGTTTAAATTTTTGTATGCATATGAAGAATACTTCCGGTTATATGAGTCCTTTATATTTGCCTATGGAGATTTTTATGTTAAATTTAAAATAACTCCGTTCCATTATCTCAATGGGGAAGCAAGCAATTCTTGTGATATTTTACATGAATAATAACTCTAGCATTGTCATCCAGTGGTTAGGTCATGAAAAAAAATCAAAAATATAAGGGATTACAAGGGTCAGTACAGAACATTTTTTTCTCTTTAACTTTTTATTTACCCATCAATCTTTAAAGCGATTTGGTTTTGAGTTAAGCATAAAAAGGACAATTAAAAAATTATGGGCCGTAGAGTTATTTTTTGACCCCTTATAGAAGTTTTAGTGCCTTGAAAAACAGTACTTTTCACAACTTAAAAAAAAAAGTGTAAAAGAGTTATGTTTCTTTGTGCAGCCGTTGAAGAAGAGGAAGATTCGTTATGTTTCCAAATAAATATTGATTTTAAAAGCCATTTTGAGATATTTTACCATACGTGTTTGTTCTGTGTAACGTTGAATTTTCTCTCAGATTCTTGATATTAATGAATCGAAAAGCCCTCCGTTTTTGTTGAACGACAAAAAAGGTCTAGTTGCATTTGTTATCATTTTCATTCTTAATATGTGAATTGAGAATTAAACCGCCCTATGTGGTATATAAAACGAAAATTATGTCATTATTACGATTGCTTGATCTTTTGTTAACCTTTGTGTGAGAGTTTTACTGATTGTCCTGGATATTTAGTTTATTAGCTTATGATTTATTGTTCATCTTTAAGTTGTTAGACAACGTCAAAGAACTACGAACGATAGTATTGTTCTCCCGCCTACCTCTAAGTCAATTCTCAAACGTTAACATATTCGAATGATTTTCAAAATTTTTATAGATATTTAAATGAATTTTCATAAAACGTTACTTATTTGGGATATCAAAGAGAGATAACTTTATAATTTTGGTAAAACTTGTGTTTTTCACTATAGAAATCAATGGAAAACGGAAAATATTTTTAAAACATCTACCCCCCCCCCCCCCGTGAAAAAAAAATTCCTTTTTACAGTTAATATAGACTGTCATTTCGCAAATTTATGCTAAAGTGTTTTGTGTTTCACGGGGGGGGGGGGGGACATATGTTTATAGACAAAATACTAAAAAAATGATGATTTTTCACCAATTTTAAAGCTAATTACAACTAAATTATTGTATTTTATTAATTTATTTATGTTTTATTTATTTGCGTTAAACATAAGAAAAGATATGAAATACATATAATCACATTTAAGACTATTTCAAAATATGATGATTCTTGAAAGTTCGATTTCACCAGAAGGTATCGTCTACCCCCCTTTTTTCAAGAGCTGGAATTAATAATAATTTACTATCTAGCGCTGGAACTGAAATGATAAGTCAATTACCATAGAACTGTTTTTTGTATTAAACAAAGATTTGATGGCCAAATTGCCTTGAATATTGAATTTAATGGGTGCAAAATGTAGGCGGGAATTTAGAATTAGAGTTCGTAGTTCTTTCAGTCAAGTCATACGTTTTGTGAAAATCCCGGGATAAATCTGTCTTAAGGCAGGTCCACACTTTTACGGATCCGGTTTAATTTTACACACCAATATAAAATTTTGATTATCCTTATCTATTGAAAAAAAATCTTTTTGGATGATTGAGAATAATTTAGCAAGTATATATTTGTTTATTATAGTGTCATTGTGCACACAAAGCATTTAATGTACAATATTTATAGGAATAACCACTTTGCACTCTGTCCATAGGATCTATATGTAATTTAGTACATACACAGACATAGAATTCTTAGTTGCCTTTATGGACCTAAAGCTTTTTAATTTTTTTAAACAAACTAACTTGAGATCTATTTATCTTTAATTTTTAGCCTATACCATCTTTTTAAATTTACTTTTTAATAAGTTTTGCGAAGAACGATTGAAAAAATAGATATTCCAAAAATGGGGGCATAGGTGTTCAAAAGGCTGTTTTGTAAACATTTTCTGGTCAACCATAATAAAGTATGTTTTTTTTGCTAACCTAAGATATAATTCTAAATAATTGTGAAGAAAAAATAGCATATAAACATATAAGATTTTGAGAAATATTTAAAATAAAGATATTTTGAGCTTTTTCTCTGAAAGATTTTGACAGAATCAACAAACCATTTTTTTAGTGTTTTCAAATAGAAATTTCAAATATTTTCTTGACAAATGAATATTTATGATTTTCCTAAGTTTTAACAAAAATTGGATGTGATTTGGTACATTGCTAAATAAATTATGATGTTATACTTCTATATGTTGAATTTTTGCGGTTGCATTTTTAGAGGTATATACTCCGAGACATGTTGCATGAAAATTAACCTGCAAAGATATGTTTTTTATGGGTGTTTTAGTTAGATTATGACTTATTCAAGATTTTCAAATAAAAAAATTAAGAGTTTGACAGAAAATTCTGAAAGTACGGACCTACCTTAAACGCGTATATTTCTGACAAAGGCTTTGGAAAAATGAATTTAGTTAATGCTTTTCCGGTAGCAAGTCACCCCAGTTTTTCAACTATCCATTTTCAGAAAGCTCGTGTGACCTTATTGGTACATGTAACTGGAAAGTGGTGAAATTTTCCAATATCGTTGCATTATGATTCATATTTTGAATATTCCTGTTGTTTGCTTTCATCAAATCATGATACAATTAAAAAAGAAATTCCACAAGCATTTGGATTAAACCTCGTATGTTTTACAAATCTAATTGTTTTTTTAACAGTAACACTTTTTGGACTCTTGATATTTTAATGCAAGGAGTCATTATGTATATCTAATTATTTCTACCCCTGAATCTTTCACTCATTTTACTAAATGTCAACACATATCATTTACTAACATCATTATATACATTTTAATGAATAGCCTTGTATTATTTAAGTATTATTTAACCAAGGTCAGTCTCGTCCACGTCCGACTCCTCAGGACTCTGAGTCCTGGGCCAGCTCGACCAATCCGACTCGTCACGACTCTGAGTCCGGGGCCACCTCGACCAATCCGACTCGTCAGGACTCTGAGTCCGGAGGCCACCTCGTCCAATCCGACTCGTCGGGATTCTGATTTAATCTGTCTGATTGTTGATTTAGGTAAATATTTGCTCATTTTGAAACACATCAAATAAATACTGAACCTCTCATCATTTGTTTTACCACTGGAATTGCAATTTGGTAGACTTTTGCATGCATTTCGCTTTTACCTGAACATGAGGTCAAATTTAATTGATTTAAAAACATTTATTAAAAGTGCTATAACCCTTCTGTGTGTATAAACCACGTCCTCTTGGTAACATTATATAACACTGGGTGAAAAAGAATGATAAGAAAATAGTATAAAAATTGTTAACTGCCGGGAATGTTTGCGAGTGCGGTTTACCATAACTTTCATTTCTATACATTCTAAATATATTTAAAGTAAAAGTAGTAAAAAGAAAAAAGAACCCCCCGTCTCATAAAGGAGCATTTTGGAGTGGACACTTCCTTCGCAAACATTTATAGAAATGGGCCAAAAACTTCAGGTAAACCACGAATTATTACTGGCAGACTTTCAAAATTCAGTGATAAAGAAAAAATTCTCCAAGCGCAAAGAGAACTAAACAAAAGAGAGCGGGAAACCTCTGACCAGACGGATCAGACTGCAGAACCAAAGTCACCCGAAAGAACCTTTTACGTCACGCCACAGAGACCAATAGAAGTCGCGGAAAACCGAAAGAAACTTCAGGAAATAAATGATCAGTATACTGGAAAGAGAGAGTGAAGACACGATTCGTAGGAGACAAGCTAGTATTTCCAAATGGAAATGTGTACAGAGACAAAGTATTGAAACCAAAGCCAGAAAATATACTAGATATGACCAAAGCAGATAAGGAAAAGCTTCAGCAGATTCCTATGTCTACCATTGATTGCTCAGACGAAGGAAATACTTTTAAAGCAGCCGCAGCAACAACAGATACATACAACCAGGTTATAAACTTTTATAAAAAAATTGTTATAGACCCATCATACGCAACGGCAGAACACAATATTTTAGTGTATCGTTTCAAAGATGGTAATGGCGCAATCCACGAGGGTCACAACGATGACGGTGAGTACGGTGCAGGAAGGCGGCTTATTCAAATTCTACGATCGATGAATGTTACAAACATGACATGCGTGATTTCCAGATTCTTTGGGAAACATTTGGGCTTTCGCAGGTTTCAAATCATGGAAAACTTGATGGCAGACATTGTTCTTGAACATAGTGGCTAATTATGTACTTAGGTCAGGTAATCAGTATATTGGAACTGTCGTGCTCAATGTAATGAGGTGTATTAATAGTTAACCATCGTTAACATGGTCAGCAAATCATATGTAATATATGTAATGTATTTATTTCCTTCTTATCAAAAGAACTGGTTGCATAGTAAAATATGTAGCGGTTTTTGTTTTCATCAATGATTATTATTATATATACTTACGTATTTAAAATTAATGTCTAAATTGAAAATTGAGTAAATTTTCACTCCCATTTCTAATATTTAACAATACGGAATTTTCAGATCCGTTGTTTTTTTTTATTCTAAAATTTGTCACCGCTTTTCCTTTCCGGTATCGAACCCGATTCAAGATGACAATCACATTTTGGGTTAAAACCTAAGGTACTCTGAATAAAAATGAACTATCCATTTTTGTACATAAGCTGTATGTTTTTTTGTTTGTGTTTTTGTTATAAACCTGGCTCTATGTTAAAAAGGATTTTTTTGTTTATTTGCAACTGCATTAGTATAGACAATGTTTATTGCATTCGTTTTTTTTTTGGTGAGCTTGTGTTGATGTACTATAACGAAATGGAATTAGATTATGTCTTTTAATATATCTATTATATCTCTGAATGTAAGGGGATTACGTTTACTTAGTAAAAGAAGATGCTTGTTTACATGGTTTAAAGAAAAATTTCCTGATCATTTTATTTATTTACAAGAAGCACATTCTACTGAGCTAGATCAACAAATATGGAAAACTGATTGGGATTCTGATATAATTTTTTGCCATGGAGAATCAAATTACAAAGGAGTAGCAATTTTATGTCCACATAATATAGACTATAAAATAATTGAAAAAACAAGTGACAATATTGGCAGATTTTTAAAAGTATCCATTTTAATAGATGATTTAAAAATTACATTGATAAATGTGTATGCTCCAACAAAAGATAACTCAGCTGAACAAGTTGAATTTTTTGAATTTTTGTTGACTCATTTGGATGAAGAGAGTGAGAAGAATTTGATATTAGGTGGTGACTTAAATATTACCTTAAATCCTACCATAGACAAACAGGGTGGAGGCATTGAAAGAAAATCAAGATATAGGGATAATCTAATTGCTGCAATGGAAGACCTAAATTTAATTGATATTTGGAGAGAAAAAAAATCTTGAAAGAAAACTGTTTACATTTTTGCGAAAAAACCCTATTATTTTGTCAAGATTAGATTTTTTCTTGATTCCATCTTTTTGGTACCTTTTGGAACTACAAGTATTAAACCATCGATAAAAACAGATCATAGTGTTATAATCATAACTTTGAAAGGGAAAATATTTGTGGATAGAGGCCCTGGTTCTTGGAAATTGAATGTGAAGGCCCAATTACATATAAAGAATGTGAAAATATTTTGAAAACATTCAAACATAATAAAACACCTGGGAAGATGGGTTTCAAATGGAAACAACTTGGATAGGAAAGAATAAAAACTTCAAACCAGGAATTCTGCCAGTAAAATGGTCAAAAAATGAATTTTTTACCCTTGGAATTTGGTTTAGTTCAAGTGGGGAACAAAAAGTTCTTTCTAAAAACTTAAATACAAAACTAGATGAACTAAAAGCAACTTTGAATTTATGGAAAAGGAGGAACTTAACACTTATTGGCAAAATTCTAATAGTAAAAACTTTAGCAATATCTAAAATAGTATATCAAGCACAAGTACTTCCACTTCCCCCACAAATGATAAAGGAAGTGTCTAAAGAACTGAATAAGTTCATATGGAATAATGAAAAACCAAAGGTTAAAAGTTTAGTATCTTGCCAAAAAATTAATAAGGGTGGATTGAAAGTTCCTAATTTTGAAGCACAAATGAAATCATTAAAACTTGGTTGGGTTAGAAGGATATTTAGTAATACAAACGCAAGATGGAGAAGTACAATTCAATATTATCTGAAGGATACAGTAATAAATGACTTTATAATTAGCAGAGGTTGCTTAAATAGCCTATATACAGACTTAACATTACCACAGTTTTACAGAGAAATTTTTGAAACATGGACACAACTAAGATGTAAGGATATTGATATTGAACCAAAATTTTAAAGAAGCTCTTTGGTTCAATGATAACATTAAAATCAATAATGAAACTGTGTTCTGGAAAAAATGGTACACAAAAGGAATCTTATATATTGGAAATATTTTAGGTGATAATTATGATTTTTTAAGTCATGAGGAATTAGGTAAACAGTATAACTTAAATGTATCTTTTTTTGATTACTTTTGTTTAAGGAATGCCATTCCATATCATTGGCGAAAATACTTAAGGCAAAACAAAAAAGTTTTAATCAATAGAGATTCTTTGATCTTAAGATTCAATGATAAAATATGTCCATTGTCAAAATTATCTTGTAAAGACTTTTACTGGATTATAATAGAAAGTCTAAATGAAGTACCAACATGTGTTCAAAAATGGGAGAAAATATTTAACACAAACTTTTCACCTACAGACTTAGAAAAATTTTTTATGCTACCTTTTGTGTGTTCTAATGAAACATCATTACAGTCTTTTCAATATAAGCTAACTCATAGATTTTTATCACATAATAAACTACTTTTTCAAATGAAAATTCAAACTTCAGCACAATGTTTATTTTGTAAAAAAGAAGATACTTTAGAACACAAATTTTATTATTGCACTTGTGTTGCAACTTTTTGGAACCATTTTCTAACATGGTGGAATGATCTACATATATTTAATGTAGAAAATCTTTCTTGTAAAAATGTTATTTTAGGTCTATATGAGAGGAAATGTGACTGTTTGAATTATTGCATTTTGCTCGCAAAGTCATATATACATTCGGTGACAGTATCTAATTTGGATGTCATTAGAAAAGTAAATGTACCAGAGTTTCACAACTTTTTAAATATGTTGAAAAAGAAATTACTGCTTAAAAAAGAAGTGTATTGCTCAAATAGTGATTTAGATAATTTTAATGAAATCTGGCAACCAATATTAGATATATTATAATAATTATCTTATATTTGATAATATTTTTTTATATACTATGCTATTAAATTAAGTGTTAAAATCAAAATGTAATTTCCCCTGTAATAGATTTCTTTGTTAAAACAATGAACTAATAATTTGTAAAAAATTATGTAGATAGTAAGCTCCTCAATATTTTTTAATTATTTATAAATCAGAAACATTGTCCTAAAAGATGTAGATAGATGTTATTGTCTATAGTTGAATTTGTTGCATGCTTTTCTATTTTATAAATTTGTATATGAAGAAAGAGCCAATAAAAATGAAAAAAAAAACTACTTTTAAGGATAACATGTTTATTTGTTATCCCCGAAAAACAATTTTAAACTCGACTCTGCCTCTTTCAAATATAGTTGCGCAAGTAAGTGTAAGATAGAGTTTTGAAAATATAACTTTATAATTAAGTTTATAATTTTTATGCACTGATGATTATAAAATATAGGTTGATAAATAAAAATTTGCGTATATATATAACATGACTTAGTTAAATGAAATGTTTCTGTTAGTTCCTTTTACAATTTTGTTCATCTATATTTTAACGCCAACGCAGTACAGTTAAGGCAACACATAAAAAAAAATATGGCAATGAGGTCATGATGAGGTCTGACGTCATAACAGTTGCTCCGCCCTGATTGATCCATATAAGGAAATAGAGCTCAAAATAACTATTTACCGATGTTTGCAAGAATCTGTAATAAACGACAATATGTTCATGTTTAAATAGAAAATAATTAGTGATTTTTTCGTATATTAAACAGCATGTCTTTAAAATAATTCTCTTTTTATATGTGTCGTTTGGCTGCATTCGGTTTCAGCCAAGCGCTTGCACTCGTTGACACGGAGTGTTGTTTACATCTAAAAACGTGGTGACATCAGCTGAGATTTGCAGTGGGTTTACATGCATTAACCATATAATAATCTTTAAAGAAAATAGGGAAGAAATAAGAGACATAGGCATTGTTTACCCCTTTTACGAGAATATGAGGACAAACTTTCGGAAAATAATGAAAAACTGAGACGGTCTGCACCAGCTCCGTAGATCCATCACTGTAATTTCAGGCCAGGTATGTATGTGCATGTAGGTACATGTGTAGATCTTCAATATGTAGACATGCTTTTGTTCACATCAAAGAAAAAAAACCCGAGTGTGTGCATCTTCATTTAGATGTATTATCACAGTCAGTGAAAAACTGTAATGCAGTGCCTTGTGTGTACCCCCCCCCCCCCATCCCCATACTAAGTTGCACACTTTTTAGAATTATTAAATTAAATTTCACTAATATATACTGAGTTCTTAAGCTTGTCAATTAGCTCATTTTCTTTGAGACTGTATTTATATGCAGTAATGGAAGTTATCAGTAACACAAATTTAAACTAAGGTAAATTAAATGAGATGTTTTTTATTGTTTCAATGATTCACTAGGCCTAAACAAATAATGATGTTGTCTTTTGACATACAAACATGCTACACAATATAAAAAAAATTATCAGTATCATTATGTTGAAAACATAGAAGCTCCGCTTCTTATCTATGGTTGCAATTTCCGAGAATTTCTAAATTAATGAAAAAAATATTTCATTTTTTGTTTAGATTACATGTACATTAAAAATATTTACATATGTAATACTTTTATCATTGTAGCTGTCAAGAGTTTTCAGGCTTAAAGAATGAATAAATAAAAAATGCATCAATTTCTCCATAGGGTATGTATACTTCTAGAGCATTTCACATTTTATTTAAGTATCCATGTGCTATGTAATTTTGTTTTTCATTTTGTTAAAGGTGAAACTCAGAAATGTTTTTTTAAAAATATTTTATCAATAATGTCAGAGGTGTCACATTCTCATAAAAGTTTTGTAACACAACTTTTTTTTTCCATTTATATGAATAAAATAAATTCACTACATTATACAAGTCAATGTAGCATGATTAATTTTGTTTTTTCGAAATGTAATGCCATTTTATTCTACAATGTATGCTTAGTAGTCCCATAGCATATTACTGCATGTATATTGTGTTAGGCCTAGCCATTCCCCCAAAAACTGGACCAATGGATTCATTCATATCCATACATATTTTGTGTGGAGGGTATTAATGTCCATCAGGATCATATTTCCATTGAGTTCATGAGAGTTTCGTATTTTTAGTGGTTAAACTTGCATGTTAAAGTCCTTCAGAACAGCACAACACTTAGTAAATTTCCAGATAACATGTACTTAGAGCCTTAACTCCATAATTCAGGCAAGTTGTTTGTTAAATTTTATTTGTGAGCGTAATTGTAAATAATATTTACTACTAGTAAATTTTCATGTTGAGAATGTCACGAATCATTAAATTCCATGGAAATTTTCAACCTCCTGTTTTCTTAAATCGGTTGTAAAAAGTGTTCATATTACACAATTTTAACATATATGGAAATGATGTTTGACCAACAAAACTATTATTTTTCTCTATATAATGTGTTGCCACTGAAACCACTGTAAGTTAAGGGAGAAAAACTTTAATTTAAACTTTTTTTTAAGAATATTTTTACAAATCAATATTGATATCACCTACAACATACTTTATGCCAATTATTTAAGATAAAATTATGTAGTATACAAAAAAGTTTTGATAGCAAATCAAATACATAGGTATCTGTTACCATAGCAACACAAATATTCTACAGTTACTACAGTTTGAAAATTTGAAAATTACCTCTAAAGTTCAAACTTGTATACGGTATATATAATCTACAACAAGCTGAGCATTAAAATTAAATAGATTCTTACACAATGCAAATGAAAATGACATAAAAAATTCAGAAGCAATTTTACTGGTTTTTTGTGGAAAAACGGTTAACTTTTATGTTTTTACTCTTAATTTCATAATAATTATGGATTCTGTTGAAAATTACGCCAGACGATGGGCCAGATATGAAAAAGAAGACGTTGACACCTTGCCAGAATGGATTAAATGTATAAGATCCATGTTAAAGTCACGTATTAAAAGATTGAGGGGCAAAATGAAAACCATCTATCCTTCTGGGTTCAATAAACCAGAAGTGAAAACAAATAGATAAATTACACGATCAGTACCTACTGGTTCCGACAAAGCAGGTAACAACATTGTCTTCGTTTGTAAGGCTCATTATATAATTTGCATTCTAGAAGAACTTGGATTTAATTCTACAAGTGGCACTCCTACTTATACTCATGCTTCCCTTTCTAAGGAAAAAATTCTTTAAAAGCACCTGCCAGTTTTTAACACATTTAATATTCCACAGAGCCAAAATGATTTTGAACTACTGTATATATATTGGATTCCGAAACTTCATAAGACTCCTTACAAACAAAGATACATTGCAGGTTCCAGTAAATGTTTATCCAAGCCTCTTTCGTTACTCCTCACTAAGATATTGACAGTAGTGAAGGAAAAACTTACAGAGTACTGTGCAACTATATATTCAAGAAGTGTTGTGAATCAGATGTGGATACGAAAAAATTCTAAAGAACTTTTTGACAATTTGAAATCAAGAGACTTTACAAAAATCAACAGCATAGAAACTTATGACTTATCAACTTTATACACAACAATTCCCCACGACAAATTAAAATCTAGACTTTTTGATATCATTGACAGCTGCTTCTTCAATAAAAAACGGAGCTCGTAAATTTACTTACCTCGTCATTGGTCATTTGCAAAATTATTCTGTTAAAACAGATTCTGATTGAACACATCAGTATAAAGAAGTTGATATCAAGAAGATGCTTGAGTTTCTGATTGACAATATCTATGTGGTTTTTGGAGACCAGGTATTTCAACAATTTGGCTCCCTTATTAGCAGACTTATTTTTATATTCATATGAAGCAGAAATTATGGAAAATATTATGCGTGAAAAGAAGAAAACACTTGCCGTGGCCTTCAACTCAACATTTAGATACATTGACGATGTATTGTCAATTAACAATGATAATTTCCATTCCTACGTCGATACGATATATTCTGGTGAGCTTGAGATAAAAGATACAACGAAGTCCGAAACCTTTGTTTCATACTTGGATATATTACTTGAAAAAGACACTAATGGTAATCTAACAACCAAGCCATATGATAATCATGATGACTTTAACTTTTTAATCGTCAACTTCCCTTACTTATGCAGCAATATACCTTCATCACCTGCATACGGAGTAAATATATCTCAGTTGATTCGATACGCAAGAGCATGCTCTACGTACGAACAATTTCTAAAATGAGGTAAATTATTGACAAGCAAGTTGATGTAGCAAGAATATCAGCAGTTTCATTCAAAATCATCATTTCGTAAGCTCTGTGGTCGATACAATGATCTTTTCAGCAAATACAATTTATCATTAAGTCAAATGCTGACTGACGTTTTTCATACCAATTGTAAGTCCGTTATTTGTACACTGAATTGACGACGGATTTTTTCCGTTATTTCCTATCATGACAAGGAGCACACGGCGGTTGTAACCGGTCTGCAGGGAATGCTCATTCCTTTAAGGCACCTGATCCCACCTCTGTTTCGGGGGTCCTTGTTTTAAATGACAATCTATTAAAGCAGGGGGTAGCTGGAACAAATATTTAGTAAGAAATTATACGGTATTTATTCTATTATCGTTAAAAGCACATGTTTCAAAATCAACATCAATATATTGTCAATACATGTCAGTAAATTTTTATTGTCATTACAACATAGATCTACAGGATCCCAATAGCTTTTATAAATTAAACAAGGGACTGTGACGGTACATATTGCCGTCCTGTACATATTGTCGCTCTGTACATAAAATCGTTCAGTACATATTGTCGCTCTGTACATATAATCGTTCTGTACATATAATCGTTCTGTACATATTTTCGCTCTGTACAAATAATAGTTCTGTACATATTGTCGCTCTGTACATATTATCGTTCTGTACATATTGTCGCTCTGTACAAAAATAATTAGTTAGGTTTTGCTATCAAATTGGCGTTTCTCAGCCTTGTAAAGAGTTCCTGAAGAACTTCCAAATGCTGATCTTAGTCCTCTGTAAAAACAATGATAACATCGATAAAATTATCAATGTTTCACATTCCGTACAACAACTTACGCATCAGTCTGGAAAACGTCGCCGGTGCTGTCAGCAATCCAAAGGGCATCACTCGAAATTGGAAGAGGCCTTTGGATGTCTGAAACGCTGTTTTGGGTTTAGCTGACGATGTTAATGGAACCTGCCATTAGACTTTGCATAAGTCAATCCTTGAAAATACCTTGTAGTTGGCAAACTTTAAAAAAGTATCATCTGCATTTGGCATCGGTTCTGCATCGAACTGTGAACATGCATTGGTAGCTCTCAAGTCTATGCAGAAAAAGTGTCATCTTTTTTCTTCACAAGGACAATTGAACAAAAAATGAACTTTCTGATGGTTCAATGACATTCAATTCTAACATTTTCTCAACTTCCATATCAGCTATTCCCCTCATTGAAAATAGAATTGCATAAGATTTAACTCTGATTGGTTGACTTGAGTTTATCTTTTTTTTTTTTGTTTAAACTTTATCTTAATGTCATGTTCAATCAGATGGGTATAGCCAGGATCATCAGACAATACATCAGTAACCTGATCCATAGTGATGTTACCTTTTTTCTGTCTTCAGGTGATAAATATGGGTTGATGGTCACACCCTTGGTATCCCTGGCACTCGCTACGCCATACTCGTCATCATCCTCCTCCGCAGCACAGTCAATTACAGCAGATGTGACTAGAGCTTCATCATCTTGATCTGATTCTCCTGAATAATCATTCCTGTTGATGTACTTTTTAAGCATATTTACATGAAACGTCTTCAATTTACCTTTCATTTCAATCTGGTGTTCAACTTTGTTTATCTTCTTCTTGATGCATAATGGCCCTTTCCATTGCATCAGTAACTTATTTGAATCTGTGGGCAGCAATACTAAAACTTTATCTTCTACCTTCGTACTCCTTGCTCTAGTTGACCTGTTGTAGAACCTCGCCTGTCGTTGAGAAGCCTTCTCCAAGTTGTCTCTGGCTATCGCTAACGTTGTCTCAAATCTCTCTCTTACATCCAACACATACTGCTAAGTAGACTTTACCTGATCATCGTTTATCTCTTTTGTCCAAAGCTCTTTTAAAATGCCCATGGGCCCTCTTACGTGTCTTCCATACACAAGTCAAAAGGCGAAAAGCCGAAACTTTCTTGCGGCACTTCCCGGTAAGCAAACAATACTAGGTTAATATATTTATTCCAGTCACGTGGACAATCGGAGCACATACGTTTTAACATTTGTTTGAGGGTTCCATTAAAACCTCTCAACCAGGCCGTTTGTCATAGAGTGGTAAGGGGTAGTAGTGAGTTGATTTAACGATAGTAGTCGAATTACCTCTCTCATTTTTGATGATGTAAATTTAGAACCCATATCGCTCAACATTTCCTCGGGCACTCCAATTCTAGAAAAATATGTCTATTAGCGCCTCGGCAACTCTCTCCTTTTCAATGGATGGCAGTGGTAATTGGATGAATAGGTCCGGCGATATCTACGGCAACCCTCTTGAAAGTAACATCAATAAGTGGAATCTTCTGAAGGAGGTACTTAGAAACCTTACCTTTTTGTCATTTGACAGATGTCACAGGAACGACAGAACATCTTTACATCAGTCTGTTGTCCAGGCCAGTAGAATTCAGAAAGAATTCTTGAGGTTTTACGTGAATTAGCCAAAGAACCAGACATGATTGACTAATGTGCCAATTTCATGACAATTTCTCTGAATCTCTTTGGGACTACAAGCTGTCTGTAAGACTTACCTGATTCAGTCTTGGTTTAATATTCACGATATACAACCCCGTTCAGCATGAACCATCGTATTGTTGCAGTTCGTTTGTCATCCACTTGTCCGGAACTTGCCCATTGTCTTGCCTCTTGATACTGGTCTGCTAATTGTGTCATCTCCCGTATACTCTTTGGGGTTCTCTCTTTTAGAAACAAGGTCAACTCTCTGTTACAAGTATTCGAGAACTGATCACGCAATGCTAAATCAAATAATGCCACAAAT